CAAGGTTTTGGGGCTGTTTTGCTTCGCAGGTACAGGAAGCTTCAGCTGTGCAAGGTACCATAATCTCTTCGACCGGGAGATATTGGATGGAAACGTGAGCAGCCCCGCACACACCTGAGGCTTGGGAGACGTTGGACCTTTTCAACGGGAAAAAGACCCAACAACCCCAACCCACTAAGCAGGTTGCAGAGGAAAAGGCTGGAATTTTTTGGATGGCCATCGCATCACCAACTTAAATCCGATGAGAACCTCGGGGACTTAAAGAAACAGTTCATGCGCAAGCCAAAGAATTACGAACTGGGGGCCTTTGGCCCATAAGAATGGGGCAAAGATACCGAGACCTGCAAACACTTTGTCAAGCTTGCTTCACTTTTAAAACTTATAACGAAAAAGGAAAACGTACAATACAAGATTGAATGTCACTTGGGGTTGAATAAACTGATAATGCTGTGAGCACAGAAAAGACATTTGTGGTTATTTCATTATACTTGTTATTTTATATTTGTCTGACCTACAAGTGCCTCTTTAATGTAAATGTAAGCAAGATACTGAAAGATCAAAAGCAATGTCAAACTGCCAAAACACTCAATTTCAGTGGTTGAATAAATTTGCGACACAACTGTATGTGCAGCTTAAAGACGGCCTAAGAGGGGTTCAAATCTCATCGTGAATGGAGGGATCAACCAAGATTCGGACCATCTATGGGCAGGCTGATTGTATCTACTCAGTATTTTAGTATGGCTTGGGTACAACCAACCTTCAATTTTAATGTCTTATTGCCAGGAGGCTGTAGTCCACAAGCACTAATCACTGTGTTCTCCCCAGCAGGAAACATCTCCATCCCACACCCACCTACCAGGAAAATACAATAGCTCTGCGGGAGCGATTTCCCCCATCAACACTGTCTGTGTTTTGATGGGGGAAATCAAGCAATTTTCTTTCCTGCAAAAATCATATAGTCTATAGCTGGCTTTAGGCTTCATTGTTATAAACAACTGGAAGAGTCTGGCAGAGAGATACTGAGTATTTGCTTTACTCATGTAAACTTTCTGCAACATTTACACATGGGAAGAGTGCAAAGACCCCTTTTGACCACTGCTGGCCTGACAATGCTGGCATGTCGATATCAACAATGGTGTAATCAGGAGCACCTGAACTACTGATTGCACATTGTTGGAATAAGCCATTGATGAGTGCCTGCTGGTGGTAACATGTGCAAAAATTACTAGACAGTCCTTCATGTATGACCACCTGAGGTCATTCTCAGCATGCGTCTGCACATCAATTGGACCATTCAGGCTGGACAGTGTTTAATTAGCAGTGCAGATGTGGCCAATTACACAATGTTGATAATGAAATGTTGGCCAGGAGCAGTGGCTGGAGCCAACTGGATCCTTGTATGCTGCCCCACTGTATGTATATACCGTAAATGTTAACACAAAAATGTTTACGTGTGTACAATGTAAAATACAACTGAAAAAAATTGTAGCCCAGATGCAGAGATGTGTCCTATTTTTTTACACTACTGCACAGCTGTGGAGAATGGGCATATAGAAAAATTTAGTACACCCTGAAAGAGCTGCTGGTGAATTGATTCCTTCCCTTATGATCAGTGCACAGCACAGCCAGGCAGACAGAATTTCCCATCTCCACTAGCTCAAATAGAACAGTCTAGGGATGTCCCTTTTTGATGTGTAATTGTAAAGTAGAACTTGGATGGGGTACATAAAGTCAAGTATGGGATACCACCAGACCTGCTGGAACTATTTATTTGAGGACTCTTCTCCTCTTCCCACTTCTATTTCCACTGAGCTGTACAAAATGTTCCACAATCTCTCCACTGCTCACAGTTGACTATGACTTCCTCCAAAAAATTGAAAGCTATACACAGTCACTAAGGTCATCTAGTCACAATGCCCAGAATCATCGGTTGCCTCCTTCTGTTATCTAGCTGGGCACTCTTCAGTAAGGGAGACACAGACTCACATTACTATAGGACAGCTGGACACTCTTCCCTCAACTTCCTTCTGGTGCTTTCCAGTAAGTTTCTCCAAACCCCAAGTAAACTCAAGGACCAGGGACTTTGCAATAAGCCCCCCCCCCAGCTTAAGCTTCAGCTGGGACCTCCTATGACTCCTAAAATGTTACCTCCAAAGCCCCTCTGGCAGGACTGAATATAGACTCCCCTCCCCCCTTCCTTCTTTAGGCCTTCGGCTATTTATGGGCTCTCTAGCCATCTACTGAGCCTTCCTCCCCAGAGATTGGCTGGATTCATATAAATATACAGGCTATCTCTATTGGATTGGTGATTTTTTTGTCAATGATGTGTCAAAGGGTGTGGAACCACTCAGAGAGTCTTTGGCACAGGGAACAGGGGTGAAATGTTATGACAGTGCTACTGTATAAATAATATACGTGCAGATGATATAATACATAAAGTCAAAATGAGTCCAAAATAAATAAATTGAATTAAAGGTGCTCTAGTGCTCTTCCCAAAGTTAATAGATAAATGCCACAACTTCTTAAAGGTCCATTTTATCCATGTATGTCACCCCTAAGCAATATACCACTGTTAGGAATGGACTGGCCAGCAATGGTGGGACTCACCTGCCTTTTGATCTGCAGTACCAGGGCTGGCCAGCGGGTGCTCCCAGCAATCAGAGACTCAACCTTTCAGCCAGCTAACACTTGGAACTGATGATGCTGGGGTATTTAAGGGATGGCCAGACTTGCAGACTCTGCCTTGGTGTTGTGTTTGTCCTGGGCCCTGTATCTGTCCTGCATCCTGTTTCTGTTCCTTCGCTGACTTCTCCTGCTCTGATCCTGGCTTGTGACCCTGACCATTCCTCTGTCTGACCCTCTGTACTACGCTGCTTGCTACCTGTTCTGATCCCTGGCTTGTGACCCGGACCATCCCTCTGTCTGACCCTCTGTACTATGCTGCTTGCTACCTGCTGAACCTGGCCTGTGACCCCGACCATTCTCCGCTTGCTCCCCCTGTACCTACCTGCCCAATTGATATTGACCCGGCCTGCCTGACGACGCTTGCTTGTATATACTGTTATCTGTGGGTGGTTGGTTTTGGTTTGGTTTGTTTGCACTGTATTATGTTTTAGTATTGCACTGCGTTTATGTTTGTACTGTTAGTGTTAATAAATTATATTGTTTATAACATATCTGAGGTCTGCGTTTCCCTGCTTCAGTCACACACCTCTGGTCATACCTGGGAGCTCTGACATTACACCAAGGCCAATCCTGACCAGAAGTGGCTGCACAGGGAAGCCATCTTGGCTTGTTGATGGGAAGGATGGATCTTGATGAGGTTGAGTATTTATATCTGCTAGTGTTTGATGACAGGGAGTATGCTTATCAAACTCTGAAGGAGTATACCCGGGATGAATTGCTAGAATGTATACGGCTCGCTCATGTTCTAGTAGATCAGGGCACAGTGTTCTCTGAGGTGCAGCCATTGATTGAGGTTTGTGCAGAGTTGGTTTCATCTGGTTCCCCCGAATGCAGGGATGAATTTTTGCCACCATTTAGTGCAGACCAGGTAGAGTCCCTGGTGTGGTTATTAGAGGATGATGTGGGTTACTTTCTGGAGCGTTATTCCACATGTTCACCACAGACACTGCAAGATTGTATAAACGCAGTGCAGTCATTGACCAGACAGACTTTGTGTAAGCTCAGCTTTGTTCAACCCATACTGCAGACATGGACAGACTTGTTGCACCCAGCCTCAGTCAGCTTACAAAAACCCAGTCCTGTTTCTAACTCTACTCCTGTATTCCCACCAGCTCCTCCAGTTACAGCCCAGTATACTTGGCTATCTACCGCATGTCAGTACCCTATTCCCACTCGCTGCACCTATCCTGCCTTTAACCCTGTAAAAAAGCCCTCTGTAGCAACTGCTCCCTCTCCTGTTCCATCCTCCAGTTTTTCTCTGTCTCCAGCTGCTCCATTCGTTTGCAGACCTGCGTTTTACTTGCAGTGCTCCAGTAATTAAAACCAGAAAAAAGCGAAAATTCTTTCCAACCAATACCATCCTGCCAGTATCCAAACCGGTGAACCAGCCTGAAGCCTCTAGCCTGAAGCCTCTCTTCAGCCTGATGCCTCTCTTCAGCCGGATGCCTCTCTTCAGCCGGATGCCTCCTCTTCAGCCGGATGCCCCTCTTCAGCCTGATGCCCCTCTCTTCAGCCTGATGCCTCTCTCAGCCTGATGCCTCTCTCAGCCTGAAGCCTCCCTCAGCCTGATGCCTGCATTCAGCCTGATGCCGCTACTCAGCAGGATGAACTGATCCAGCCCGACGATCCTATTAGGCCAGTTGACTCGATGCCCGCTGTTGATCCAGATGATCCGGTACCTGATCCAGTGCCCGCTGTCGTGCCAATTGACTCAGAGCCCGCTGTCATACTGGTGACCCGGTGCCCACTGCCTTGCCAGATGACGCGGTGCCCGCTGGCAAGCCAAATGACCTGATGCCTGGTGACCCAGTGCCCGCTGTCATACCTGGTGACCCGATGCCCGCTGTCGAGCCAGACGATCCAATGCCTGGTGACGCGGTGCCCACTGCCTTGCCAGATGACCTGATGCCTGGTGACCCCCAGTGCCCGCTGTCATACCTGGTGACCCGATGCCCGCTGTCGAGCCAGACAATCCGGTACCTGATGCCCCGGTGCTCACTGTCGTGCCTGTTGACTCGGAGCCCACTGCCTTGCCAGATGACGCGGTGCCCGCTGTCGAGCCAAATGACCTGATGCCTGGTGACCCAGTGCCCGCTGTCCAGTCAGACGATCCAATGTCTGACCCAGTGCCCGCGGTCATACCAGTTGACTCGGAGCCCACTGCCTTGCCAGATGACGCGGTGCCCGCTGTCGAGCCAAATGACCTGATGCCTGGTGACCCGATGCCCGCTGTCCAGCCAGACGATCCAATGTCTGACCCAGTGCCAGCGGTCATCCCAGTTGACTCGGAGCCCACTGTTGTGCCTGGTGACCAAATCGGTGCCCGCCGCCCCGCCTGGGGGCCCGAGACCTGTCGTTCCGCCTAAGGGCCCGAGACCTGTCGCTCCACCTGGGGGTCCGGCGCCCGCCGCTCCGCCTGAGGGCCCGAGAGACCTGTCGCTCCAGCTGGGGGTCCGGCGCCCGCCGCTCCGCCTGAGGGCCCGAGACCTGTCGCTCCATCTGGAGGTCCGGCGCCCGCCGCTCCGCCTGAGGGCCCGAGACCTGTCGCTCCGCCTGGGAGTCCGGCGCCCGCCGCTCCGCCTGGGGGCCCGATGCCTGTCGCTCCGCCTGGGGGCCCGAGACCTGTCGCTCCGCCTGGGGGGGGTCCGGCGCCCGCCGCTCCGCCTGGGGGCCCGAGACCTGTCGCCCCGCCTGGGGGCCCGATGCCTGTCGCCCCGCCTGGGGGCCCGATGCCTGATGCCTGTCGCCCCGCCTGGGGGCCCGATGCCTGTCGCCCCGCCTGGGGTCGCCCCGCCTGGGGGCGATGCCTGTCGCCCCGCCTGGGGGCCCGGTGCCTGTCGCCCCGCCTGGGGGCCCGGTGCCTGTCGCCCCGCCTGGGGGCCCGGTGCCTGTCGCCCCCGCCTGGGGGCCCGGTGCCTGCTGCCCCGCCCGGGGGCCCGGTGCCTGTGCCCCCCCCCCCCGGGCCCGGTGCCTGCTGCCCCGCCCCCGGGGCCCGGTGCCTGCTGCCCCGCCCCGGGGGCCCGGTGCCTGCCGCCCCGCCCGGGGGCCGGGTGCCTGCCGCCCCGCCCGGGGGCCCGGTGCCTGCTGCCCGCCCGCCCCCTGCCCCCGCCCGGGGGCCCGGTGCCTGCCGCTCCGCCTGGTGGCCCGCTGCCTGCCTGCTTCGCCTGGTAATCCGATGTGCCTCTGCCCGGAGTCCTGCCCGATGTGCCTCTGCCCGGAGTCCTGCCCGATGTGCCTCTGCCTGGAGTCCTGCCCGATGTGCCTCTGCCTGGAGTCCTGCCCGATGTGCCTCTGCCTGGAGTCCTGCCCGATGTGCCTCTGCCTGAGTCCTGCCCGATGTGCCTCTGCCCAGAGTCCTGCCCCCGATGTGCCTCTGCCCGGAGTCCTGCCCGATGTGCCTCTGCCCGGAGTCCTGCCCGATGTGCCTCTGCCCGGTGTGCCTCTGCTCGATGTGCCTCTGCTCGATGTGCCTCTGCCCGGAGTCCAGCCCGGTGTGCCGCTGCCCGGAGTCCTGCCCGGTGTGCCAGTCTTTGATATCCCGCCAGTTGCCAGACCCGGGCGGTGGAACATTTTGCCCAGCTAGGACTGTTTGGAGCGTCCTGAGGCCGCTCCTTGAGGGGGGGGTACTGTTAGGAATGGACTGGCCAGCAATGGTGGGACTCACCTGCCTTTTGATCTGCAGTACCAGGGCTGGCCAGCGGGTGCTCCCAGCAATCAGAGACTCAACCTTTCAGCCAGCTAACACCTGGAACTGATGATGCTGGGGTATTTAAGGGATGGCCAGACTTGCAGACTCTGCCTTGGTGTTGTGTTTGTCCTGGGCCCTGTATCTGTCCTGCATCCTGTTTCTGTTCCTTTGCTGACTTCTCCTGCTCTGATCCTGGCTTGTGACCCTGACCATTCCTCTGTCTGACCCTCTGTACTACGCTGCTTGCTACCTGTTCTGATCCCTGGCTTGTGACCCGGACCATCCCTCTGTCTGACCCTCTGTACTATGCTGCTTGCTACCTGCTGAACCTGGCCTGTGACCCCGACCATTCTCCGCTTGCTCCCCCTGTACCTACCTGCCCAATTGATATTGACCCGGCCTGCCTGACGACGCTTGCTTGTATATACTGTTATCTGTGGGTGGTTGGTTTGGTTTGGTTTGTTTGCACTGTATTATGTTTTAGTATTGCACTGCGTTTATGTTTGTACTGTTAGTGTTAATAAATTATATTGTTTATAACATATCTGAGGTCTGCGTTTCCCTGCTTCAGTCACACACCTCTGGTCATAGGGAGCTATTTAAAACCTGCATTACATTACAATCAATGCCTTCGGGTCTACAACGTTCTTGCACATATTACCTGATCCTGCTGCTTGTATTCTAATCTGACCTGACTAAGAAAGAACTCCGCCTGCACCGACCTCGGCTATCCCTGACCATCCGCTTGCCTGCTCCCTTGTACTTGATCTGCCCACTTAATACTGACCCGACTTGTCTGACTCTGCTGCATCAACTTACCTGCACCTGCATCTGGCTTGCATCCTGACGGCTGCCATACTTACCTGCTGCTGCACCCACGGTCCTGCATCTGTGTCAGGGCAGGAGCCGAGGAACGGACAGGCAGGCCTAACAATGTAACGCACTGGCTGACGACAACCACCACCCACAGACCGAAGTCCCTCAGGGAGCGGAGTCTAAGTCCCAGGCTGCCCTTCACCAGGGCCCCTGATGGTGGGGATGGACTTGACGCAGCCAGGAACCAGGTCGCGGCCCCCGAGACACCTCAGCTGCGGTAATGGCCGCCGCCAATGGCGTGTAGCTGGTGGAAGAGACAAAAGAGTAGTCAGACAGGCCGGGGTCAACAACAACAGGACAAAACAGTACAGGACAGCAGACGAGAATCACAGGTCACGAGCCGGGTTCAGCAACAGAGGGTCAGATCAAAGGAGAATACAAAGAATAGTCAAGTCACAAGCCGAATCAGAATACCAGGAGAGTCACGAGAGTCAGAGCAGAGTAATAGTAACACAAAGACACAAGACACAAGTGCAAAGAGCATGTGCGGGCCACAGGCTTATATGTCATCAGCCACGCCCCTCTGGGGGGTGGACCTCAGAGACCTGAAGGCATAAAAAGGATTCCCACCATGCACAGCAGAATCCAAGATGGACGCCAGCACATGGAGTAACATAACCTCAGGGAAAAGGTAGGACCTTGACAATCTGGCTTGCATCCTGACGTGTGCCATACTTACCTGCTGCTGCACCCACGGTCCTGCATCTGGCTTGCATCCTGACGTGTGCCATACTTACCTGCTGCTGCATCCACAATCCTGCACCTGGCCTGCATCCTGGTCACTGCCATACCTGCCTGCTACCGCATCCACGCTCCAGTGCCCAGTCCCAGTCTGCATCCTGATTGCCGCCATACCTGCCTGCTGCTGCACCTACGTTCCTGCATTTGCACCTGGCCTGCATCCAGATCTCCTGGGTCTTCAGCTACCTGCTGCCAGCTCCAGATCCACTCCTGGCTCTGGGCCCTCTGTCCCCACTATCAGGGGCTCCGAGAGGGAGTCATAAGAGGACGCCTTCTCTCCACGTCAGGCTCCCCAACCAGGTACGTAACAGTACGTGATACCTTGTTTGCACAAGAACGTCAATGCACACTTTCTGGAGCCCAATATGCTCAAAAGGAATGCCAAGAAACCTCCACTTATCAAGAACCTTCTCCAAGATATTTCACCCCCCCAGGGCACTCCATCCATCCAATGGTCTCACATGTGCAACCCAAACCATGGCAAGATAAAGTAAGGGTACTCTCATAGTGTTTACTCTTTATTAAAATATGGAAAGTTAAAAACAATGTAAGCACTTACAAAACTACAGTGGTATGAATCCTGCATCTCAGTTACAAAAGCTGTACTAGGTCCACATTGCTCTGCTGGTGACATCCTGACCTCTCTGACTCTTTTACAGACCACAGGCCTTTGTTTATCCTGGTCACTCAGCTCAGTTGCCAGTGTGTTACTGGCTGGATCACCATGTGAGAATAAAGAAAATAAAGAAAAAAGAAAGCTAATACAGCCACCACAGCTGAACACCAGGCAGATAATAAAAAACAAAAAATTCAGGAAGCTCTGTAACCATGAATACATCAATAAATGTATTTTTAAATGAAAGCAGTGTAAGAATCTATATTTGACCTGGTATCAACCTCCTGCAGTTCCTATACAGCAGGGAAAGAAGAAGCAGTACAGGGAGCCAATCAGTTAATGGCTGTTAAGAAAAAAGCTGATAGGGAGGAGGGGCAGAGTGACTTAAATTTAACAATATGCAGCTTCTGTTTTCCCTGGCCAGCCACAGACTGGGGGGATCCAGGATGTCCTTGGCTCAGAAGAAGTGAGTTTAAATCATGCTGGCCATTAGACTGTGGACATTTACACCCCGTTCACACACGATTTTAAAGTTGGATGGTATTCTGACTTGAGGTGCGACTTGCAAGACATCTGTGGCTTGCAAGACACAGATGTCTATGCAAGTCACACCAAAAGTAGTTCATTCACTACTTTAGAAATTGGCGTGGCTCCGACCAAGTCAGAATCACACCGTTATGACCGCTCTAATAGCGGACAATAGGGGTGCAACTTGCAATTTGCAAGTCGCATGGCATGGCAAATTGCATGCCAAGTCACACCGGGTGTGACCGGGTCTTAGTGGCAGAAAAGAAGCACTGCAGTGGGAAAATCTCAGGGACTGAAGGTGAAAATTGCAGCAACTGTTATTTTATTTTTTACTTTAATGGGATATTTGTCTTTATCTTGTTATTTTTGGCTGGAGCCCTGCTTTAAGGGTCGGTAAGTCGGAATATTTTACCCTTTTTTATTTTTGAGTTTAAGACTACTTTTACAATGACAATCTTCTGATATAGTACATTTAGGAAAGTTTGCTTGGGCATTAAGTAATTGGGGCTCTAAACTATGCAGCCTTGACCATGAAACTTGACAACCAGCCTTTACTGATGCACATGTACATCAGAACTTCAACATTCCGTTTGTAACACCCTCTAGATTAGCTAGATAGAGTTTGTTGTTTTCTTTTTTTAGATAGAGGCTGAGTAGCAGCCTGGGATGAGTCAGCCTGGGCGTGAGGCAGGAGTTCACCTCAGACAGGCTGGGAGGTTCTACAGGTCAGGGCTTCTGAAGTGACCTTTCCCATCTTTCCAGAATCTTGAAAACTTTCTGGAACACGGAAGGAGGAGGGGAAGAAGCCCATATCTGCATGTTTGAGGGACCTTGGCAGGAGGCTGGGCATGGTGACCAGGGCAACCCACAAATATCACAGAGCCTGGGGAGAGAGAGGGGAGTTGGGGGGAAGATGGACTAGAGGAAGGCTGGAGTGTGGAGCCTGGGAGGGAGCCTACCTACAGGCAGATGCTGGACAGGAGGATCTCTACTACCTCAATGTCTCCTTGGGAGGACAACCTGTTAGTAGGGAACAAACCAGCCCAGTGAAAGGCCTGAAAACAGCTACCAACCCACCATGCTGACAGGACAGGACAGTGTGAGTACTCCTACACCCCTTGGACCCCATAAGGGGAGAGGGATGGTCAGGTGCAATACCCAACTAGTCTCTACCTGGGACTCAACTGCTTTGACTGCTTGGGCCGCCTATGCTCAGGGGTACCCTCAGCGCAGCTTGGCGAAAAGAGGATTCATCCAGGATCTGAGAGGGTACAATGAAAAGGTACAGTGCTATCTTTGCTTTATGTTTTGCCAGTCCACCCCCTTTGTACATAGTTGTGAGAAGTTTGTCCTCGAGTTCTACAGTTTCTTGGGTATCCCATATACACCTAGACCCCATCCAAGTTGTTAAACTCCTTAACAAAAACAATTAAAAATCAGCTCAAGGACTGTTTACTGACTTTGAAAGCAC